ATTCCCAAGTTGGAGGGGGGGTCCTTCAGGTGGATGACGTTTATGTCCACGGGTCGGACGAGCCGGAGTCCGAGATCCCGTGTGAATCCAGGCGAATGCGGAAAGCGGAAGTATTTTTTTTCTGGTGCCTTTACGTTGGGGTCGTTTTTGCATCGTTGAGACGGGAACTCATGGCCAACCCATGAGTGTTGGGGGTCTATTTGCGGAAATATGCAAGTGACGGGGTCATGGTGGGTCACAACCCGTTGGAACCCTGAGCATGTCAAATTGGACACTAGGAAACAGCTGCCATGGCGGGATCCAACTAGTTTGGTGCACCTAGGCACATCACAGGGAAGAACTTGAACCTGCTCAAATTGAACATGTTGCCGTGCCACAGGTTGTGCCAATCTTCAGCTTTATGCGTCTTTTGTGCTGCGACGGAACAGGAAGACGGACTTGCCAATTTGGAGGCCTTGCAACACATGCTTAAATGGCGGCCATGCAAGCGGGGAAGCTTGCCGTCAAGAATCCAGGCTGATCGCACGTGCCCGGCCACGCAGGCAGGAAGCGCTACCACCTTCTTCCCCTGAGCCCGAGGCTGCCATTATGTCCAGCGTGCGAGACTCAGGATTTTCACCTTGCACGACTCGACGTTGTTCTTTGTTTGCTTTCCAACTTGTCCGAATAACAGTGTAACCTTCCCGGAAGATGAAACTTTCCCAACTTGCTCCTAAAGAATTGTTTTGCTTCAGGGTGTCAGAGATCAACCGATGTTTAATCAGGAGCTCCTTGTCCCTTGAATCAAGTTGCCCCAACAGCAGGGTCCTTATAAGCTTCTTACAGGATCGAGCTCCGGCGTAGAGCGAGGAAACCAGCAAAGATCTTGGGAATCTTCTGTTGATTTGCCCCAGGAAGCCAATCCCGCCATTCCGGGCATTTGGTCTTTCATTTGCTGAAGGCGATTGTTTGTTTGTTTGTTTGTTTGTTTGTTTGTTTGTTTGTTTGTTTGTTTGTTTGTTTGTTTATTTGTTTATTTGCTTTTGCCCGGTCGGTCATATCCGGAATTGTTTGTGACCGGTAGCCCATTCTGAGGTCCTTGCAAGGCTTGAGCACGTTTGCCTCTGGGTGTTTCGCTCTTTGGCCCTGGCGGGCCGGGGGGCTTGTTAAAAGAACAGGCCCTCAGCCCTCAGTTGTTTGGACCCCGACTTTACGCGGCTCCCCCAGCGTGGGTTCCCAAATGCGAGTTTCAGCGGGCCTTGAGGTGCAGTTCTGCTCCCTCCGCACCTCGGCCTGAACCCTGCCGGGCAGTCTTTTTCATGGCCTCAATTGTGTTTCGAGTTGCTTTTGCTGGAAGCCTTCACCCCAATCTGTTCACAGTTTCGCATGCTGAGAAGCTTGACGGATACTTGCGTCAACATAGGAATTTAGCTGTGTGTCACAACTATTTGAAATGGCGAACCAAGCCACATGGCATCACACATCCACGTGAGTAGTTTAGTGTGCAAAGGCTGCATGCCGATCCGGTTGTCGCCCCTTCAAATAGATCTTGAGCACTGCATCTTTGAGTTGTGGAAGGACAGGGGACATCTGAAAATCTGAACCGGCTTAGAAGTGGGCGTGGCAGTTTTGGCTAGAAATAAACAGGACCCTTTGGGTGGTGTTGGTCTTGTTCTTGACAGCAATTCTGGGCGGCCTCTATTGAGACGAACACTGCTTGACTCGGTCAGAGGCAGCTGTTTGAGAACTCTACTATTGGAGCAAGAAACCCTTTGACCCTTCCGAGGAACGGAGGAGATCGTATTCGTGAGGAACATGCATGAAGTCATACCAAAGTTGGGCTGATTCAAAGGGAAATTCAGGGAAATTCAAGCAAAACCACCCCAAAAGAAAAGAGGGAGGCGTTTATATATATATATATAACACACAAAGCACCCCTTTTTTTTGGGGGGAGGGTCCCCTTAAGACAAAGCCAAATTTGGGTCTTTAGGCACCTTCGAGGGCCTCTCCCGGGACCTGGCGGCCCAGTTGGGCGCTACCGGGGAGCGCTGCTTCCATCGCGAGCTCCAGGTCCGGCGGTCCGGCGGTCCGGCGGTCCGAGCGCGTTTGGTCTCGGCTTTGGACCTTCCTGTTTTAACTTTCCAGTTGATGTCCCGAAAGGTTCAGCTTAGCCCAAAGCTTGAGGTACCTGTGGTTCACCTTTTTGGCCCGAAGCTTTGATTGAGCTACCAGTGGGCCGAAAAACAGACATGTGGTTCCTCCCCCGTGTCATTTTTGGATGGATGTTCTGCTGGGCCTTTGGGTGAGATGGGCGACTCCAATAGTAGTTGACCTCCAAAAAAAGTGTTGCTCCTGTTCCCCTCAAGACCCGACCCACTAGATGAAGCTCGCTGGGACAGGAGGAATTGACAGTCATATAAAGAAATACCTTGGCCATACGGGTTGACGAAGGTGCTACTCTTTGGGTCCCACGACAAAAGCGGCGCAGTACGTGGTGTTTGGCTCAGCCCGCTTTTGGTTGGGTTCGGCATCATCATTTGGGCCAATTTGAGGTAAGAGTCCTTTCGGTGGGACGATGTTTGCAGGTTATAAACAGGAAACCTGATAATATGAATCACCACGTGTGTATTGCGTAGCGTTTTGGGGGGTAGTCCTTTTGTGGTGAATCAACATCATGTGAAGGGGGCCTGTTTGAGACGCCCTGACGTCAAAAACTGACCTTTTTGCGCCAGGAGGTGAGGCGGCGCTGCCTCATGGCCATGAAGGTGCTCTTGCGGCGTTCTGTTCGTGGGCCTGACTAATGTGTGGGTTGTTCCGTTCATATGGGATTTCTTTCCTTTGAAGTGAAGGCCAGCCTTGGCTGTCAAAGTCAGATGTTTGGGTTCTTGGAGTTGATTGAAGTGACTCTGAGACTACCAGCCGTAGCGGGAAATGTTTAACTGGTGGCCTTGATGCTTGAGAGGTTGACCGAAACGTGATCTTTGAATGAGGAAACTGACCAATTGGTCACAAGTTGATCCTTTCTGGGGACCTGTGTGTGGGCGAATGTCCCCTTATGGATGGTGCGGGAACACACATTGGGAACCGATCGTTTGCCTGTTGCTGAACCGTCCAATTCCAAGCCCTTGCAGGCCGTGGAAGCTGCGATGATGTTCCGCGGCTGCAGAGTCACCAAAACTCGCCCCTTTTAATTCACATGTTTAGCCATGACATTTCTTTGAACACCCTACCAAATGTTCGGTTTGTGGCCAGAAGTCCCCACGTGGTCCGCCAAAGGACCCATGTTAACTCGTTTTGAGGAGGGCGGTGCATGCCTGAGGATGCCGGACGTCAAACAGAACAAGTGGAGTCTTTCTTCTTGCGGGAAACTCGCATTGTTTTGAGCTTCATATATCCCAGAAGAGAGAGACTCCAGGACCGCCGACTTGCGACTTGCCACTTGCATCGTGGCCACATTCGAGTGTGTTTTCTTTAGAGTTGGTTCCCTATGTTTGGTTGTTTGTTCCGCCACATGTTTTTTGTGACTTGTACCAGTCCGGGGCACCTTCTAGGAATGCGCAACGAATCTTGGCTTTTGAGTTGCCCTTTGATTCTTGCAACCTGTCTGGATGTACCAACCCCTCAGGATCTAACACCAACCCTCCCTCAGGATACAACAAGCAACCTGGCAGGCTTGCAGCCAAGAAAGCCACCCACCCACGCACCCATCCACCCACCCACCCACCCACCCACCCACCCACCCACCCACCCTATGCAGACCAGTGCAACCCTCAGGATCTACCACACTTGCGCCGCTGGTGAGCCACCGCTGGGCTCAGCAGCTCGGAGCGCCAGCTGTCAGGAGACTGGTTCAGGGGAAAGCTGAGGGAGTTTTGGCTGAGGGAAGGTCACGGTCTGGGTCCAATCTTTTCGGAGGGATCAAGTCCAGCAAATTTGTTCACCTCAAAGAGTTTTCCCCCTTTCGCGGGCAATGTTTGGATGAGACATAGAATGACTCCTGGTCCGAATTCGGACAAGTATACTGTATCCCCTTTTTTTAAGGAGGGCCGGGTGGTTTAAAGGGGTTTCCAAAACGGACCTTCGGGGCTGCCAACAGGGGGAATCCTAAGATAGCAAAGCTGTTTGAACCTGCACGCGGTCCTGTGTTGTATGAGTCTCACATTTGTGGCAATATGCAAGCAACACCATTGTTCCTATGGTGCTCATTCTTTGACTTGGCTATGTCGTATCATTGTGGTCAGGTATCGAGCCAGGAGATGCTTTTAAACTTTAAACCAAGGGCGATTTTCAGGGGTGCTTGGAATTTTCTTGAATCAGCCCGTTTGGTTCAACCCGGAAGAACTGGTAGGCTACTGAAGGCAACCCTAGGTTTCATACAGCCGCTTCCAACCTCCCAGACCATCGCCGTTCATTGAAAGCGGTTTGCCTTTGAAGTGTAGAGCCCTCGTATCGGCGTCCCAAAACGGTCAAGAGGACTCCAGAAAGCGGCCTTCGTCTTGCCACTCGGAGCCTTAAATGGTTCGAAGCAAGCGAGATGCTGTCAGCAGAACGGATGGTGGTTTCCAGCCTAGGCAGACTCTAAATAAATGGCAGGTGCTGTCCGTTTGGTTTCCCTTTACGCAACATCCGAAAGGAGGTCCCCCATCTTATTACATCATGCTCTATTTTTGCCACCCGATTTGGGTTGTTGTATGCTGGCAGCTTGTCGGTTTGGCACGAGGTCGGCCAACCCACTTTTCTGCATGTGATACGTGGAAATATCATCGGACATTTGTTTGGCAAACCACGAGCTGGATCTGTTTTTTTGTTCTTTTCTCTTTTATCGTTTTTTAGGGCTGTTTTTTTACTAGGGCTCGTCCCGTGGTTGGTTGGTTGGTTGGTTGGTTGGTTGGTTGGTTGGTTGGTTGGTTGGTTGGTTGGTTGGTTGGTTGGTTGGTTGGTTGGTTGGTTGGTTGGTTGGTTGGTTGGTTGGCTGGCCGCATCCCCGGCGTCACCAGCCTCACTTGGCCTGGGGCCGCCTACTGGCTCTGATTTCGTGGAAGTTGGGAGTGTGGGGGGTTGGTTTAAGTTAGGGGGCTTGGCTGGCTTCGATCTTGATGAGTGTGGGTCTTGGGCTGGTTCAGGGTTGATGTAGGAGAAGCGAAGGCCTGACATCCAGTCTGCTGTTGGGCGGGTTTAGGGTTGACTTTGGGTGGGTTTGGGTTGGTTTGGAGCTGATTTATGTTCAGCAGCGGCTTTAGGGTTGCTTTAGGGTGTGGTTAAGAGAGTTGTGGGCGAGTTTTGGTTTCGTTTAGGATCGGTTTTGGAGCGTTGCCCCAAACCACCAAAAGCCCAGCCAAAAGCCCCCCTAACTAAAACCAGCCCCCAGGCAACCCAACTGCCGCGCAATCAGAGCCATTAGGCCACCCCAGGGATGTTGCCAGCCCCGCGGAAAACCAGCCCTAGGAAAAAAACCAACACCGTTACCCCATAAGCTTGGACTTTGGGGCGATCCACTCAGCAAGTCAGGAGGCGGCGAGCCTCGTGAGGCGCCGAAATGCCTCGGCGGTGATGAGTGCTTGCATGCAGGAGTCCTCTTGCTTTCACGCAGCAGGCAGTGACGCGCTTTCCCCCACAAACTGTGTTTGCCGAAGCCATTTGCGGGCCTTGAACCAGGGCAAGAATGAAACAACGGAAGCAAACAAGCAATGATCATAGTATCGTGCTTTGCTCGGGACTTCAAATGCCCCCAGCGACCTTTGCGTGTGTTTCCTTCTGGAAACAAGAACGCCCTCAGGAGACCCCGAGTGGCCTGCCTGGGCACGAGGCGGCAACGAGGGGTCTCGCAGTCTCTCCAATCAAAAGGCATTTGCACAGGGCTGAGTTCTCCCGGATGAGGTTTCTTCTCATGGCATGGGACTTTGAGAGTCCTGAAAAAGTCCATGTTGTCCAAGTTTGATTCCACCGTTTTTTTTTTTTTTTTTGTTTTTTCAGAGGTTGCACATTGGCATCAATGGATAAAGCCCCGCAAACTCCACTTGAGCAGTGACTTTGAATCAATTGCAAGGGCTTATAATAGGGCACTGCATGCGAAGGCAATTCTGGTTGAGGGCGTAGGCTCGCGTAGGCTTTGCGCGAAGGCGGTGGCTTCGCCTCTCGCAGAGGCTTGTCAGAGAGGCATGTCTTGAACGAACACTGCTTCACCGTTGTTTGCAGAAAAAGCACGATCTTGTGTTTTCCCTTGTTCCTTTCATGCTTCGCGTAGGCCCTGTGTGGGCATTCGCGTAGGCTTGCAAGGATTGCTTAATACCTGCAGGGCCTTTTCTAGCAGTCAGATCCATACGTGGGGTTGTTATAATCCTGCCCCTGCAGTGTAAATAGCTGAAACGTTGTGATCTTCGGGCTGGAGCTGAACCACCAAGAAATATACTTCATGCTGGAAGGCCTACTTTCCCCACTTGAAAACGAGTCCGGAGGTAGAGACTGAAACGGTCCAGAATTCCGTCGCAGGCCCGGAGGGTATCGCAGCTGCAGTGCGCAAGGGCCGCCGCACTGGCCAAGCCTGGCCCAAAGACACAGACGCGTCTACCCCGAAATTTGGGTTTGCTTTCTGGGTGCTGTCCAAACACCGCTGATTCGCATGGTTGATTGTGTTTTGAAAGGCACGCTCTTCGAGACTTCATTGCCCCACTCCGTGTCAGGTTGCGACCTGTACCACATCTGCGAAACTACCCTTGTTGGCGAGTTCTGCCAATAAAACGCTAGGAGTTGCCAGCTTGGAGGGCGCTTTCCCGGGTTTGTACCGAAGACACAACACTCCAACCACGAATTCTCAAGCGTCTGTGCGCCCTTAGGATCCCAACCAGGTTAAAGAGTGCTGGGACAATCGCACAATTGTTGTAATTATTTTCCAGAATGGAAGTACATCGGTCTCTGTTGATCTTCTCCAGGAAGAAACGTATTCCAAACACAGACAGCGCTTTCTACATTGAGGGGCATGAAAGAGTCCAGAACATTTGCTATTTAAGGAGGCAACCCCCCAGAGGATTGTTAGAGCCTTCTTAGAACGGAATCCTGAAACGGATTTTGAGAAGCTCGTGGGTTGTACCGAGGAGTGCGATTATACTGTCCCGATGTGTGAGTTTCCCCCACAAACCGGGGTGCCAATAAAAGAGCCCTCTGGCCTTCCCAAGGCGAACAATATTCAACAACGGCAGCCAAGCAATTGCGCCGTGGTGCAACCTAGAGTCTAGACTCTGGGTGAATCAAGCAGTTGCAGCCTGTGGGGCCTTGGCAGGGCCGGATAGGTCGTGTTGAAACAAGCGCGGCTGACAGGAAATCGCAAGGAGCCGTGTTTAGATTTAAGCCACATGTGTGTAGGAGTGGGTCTATTTACAGGATTTCCTGCAAACTAATATGGAAGCCAACAGGGTGTTTCCAAATGATCTGAGTTTCCACACGTTAATCTGCAGGTAGGTATTCAATCCTTTGTTGTCTTCAACGTGTTTCGGGTGACCATGGCCTGTTAACGGCGGCGTCTCGGCATCGTGAGGCCGGAGGAGAACAGCATCCCAATGGAGTTGGGCCTGGACTGCTTGGCGTCATCCCCCTTGAAGGCGGGGGACGGAGGGACTGCGATCCAAGGGTTTTGAGCTAAACAGAGGCCCTTTGTACATCATTTACGTGGAGGTTCATGTCAACCCGATTTTACTCGGGAGGTTGACAAGCTGGTGATCTTTGGGGACAGACTGCCAAACATGCACCCCAGCCTGAAGCCTTCAACCCTAGCCCGGATTTCCCATGTCAGACCTCCTTCTACAACGACCTTGGCCGGCTCTTCGCGCGCCTGCCATGGATCAGCCTCAGGCCCGGGGTTCCTTTCGCCTTCCTCAGATGGGGCAGTTGCGGCTGACAAGGCATGCCGCGCAAATGCACGCGATACGGATCAGGCATCCCTTGCCCTACTACGACAGGTCCACCTTCCTGGATTTTGCCCCTCGGCCGAGTCCCTCGCTACAGTTCCCAGCAAGAAAGACCAAACCATGCAAGGCTGATGCCTTGTTTTTGGTGACAGATGGCCACTGGAGCCACCACCAACAACCCATGTTGCGAGTAGAAGTGGCCCGTGTGGAACGATACTATACCTCCAGTTTTGCCGGTTTCCGTTGGAAGGGTTTCGCTGTAACACTAACTTGCAAAGAAAGCGTTGGCATTGTTCAGTTGCCGTTTCCCATTGCCAAAGGTTTGAGATGTAGTTGAACGCCTCATCTTAGGCTCAGTCTTTGCCGACCTGGGTGTCGTGGCTCTTTGAGCAGCTTGGCACGCGAAAGTGTGGTCTAATATTCACTGACAGGGATATCTGTACCATTCTCGTTGCGCCATTTTTCTGCTTTCTGATTGTTTCACTTGGCTCTGGGATTTGGCATTGGAACCCGAGACAAACATGCTTTGCATCAAGCATGGTAGATGATGCGTGATTTTTCAAGATGAGTCTGCCCAAAGCCTCCTGCCAGCTTCAATGACTGTTGGGAGGGTAGGTACTGCAGGGCTTCTGGTGTCGTTCACTTGAAATGGCCCTCTAGGGCTTCTCGTCTCAGGCTATGGTACTTCTACGACAACATCTTCTTGCCGATGTTCCGCAGCTCGGCACCGGGATCGGCAAGTTCATCCGAAGAAGCAGGTGAGCAGCGGGGACACAACATCCGCATCAATTTAGTACCACTTCCAGCTGTTCCCTTTTCGGAGGGAGCTTTGCTTGGATTTTGAGTTGCTCCTTTTTGGGTGTTTTTCAAAGGTCCAGATTTTGGGGTGTTTCTTTTTTGGATTTTGGGTGCTTCTCCTGTTGCAAGCTGGGTGTGTCAAGCTGGGTGTTTCTCTGAGGCGAGCAGCAGGCCTGGGGCTCCTACCTGGCGCCCCTCTTCCGCCTGCCGCCGTGGGCGGTGCCCCGCGGCACCGACCGGCGCCAGGCACCGGGTCCGGCCGGGGTCCGGCCGAGCAGCCGGGTGCCAGGGGAGGCAACCGGCCCGTTTTCTTTGGAAGCACCTGCGAAACCTACGGTTGCATGGCAAGGGTCCGGGGAATCCCGGTTACTTGGCTTTGGTCACTGAATGGTTTTTGGTTGGATCCGAAGAATGGCTTCTTTTTCCAAAGGCAACTATGAAACCAGTGGGGTGGATCCAGGTTTCTAGTGAGCCATGAGCTTCTTCAGCTTCGCTGGTACCTCTTGGCAAAACAACTAAGGGCCGGTCGGGTCCAAACTCCAACCCAATTTTGACACAGCCACATCCTGTGGAGTCAGATCCTTTGGAGCACAGTCGCACATCGGCCCTGAAGGAAAAGACAACGAGGGCCCGGCAGGGTGATGCAGGGAGCTAAGCTAATACTTACTAAACTAATACTAAACGAGAGGCTCCAAAAGGAACACAAACCAATACTAAACTAATACTAAACCAAAAGGAACACCAATACTAAACTGACACTAAACCAAATGGGCACCAAAAGGAATACAAACCAATACTGAACCGAGAGGCTCCAAAAGGAGCACACACCAATACTACACTAATACTAAGCCAAAAAGGCACCAAAAGGAACACCAATACTAAACAAACACTAAACCAAAAGGGCTCCAACAGGAATACAAACTAATACTAAACTAATAGTACACCAAGAGAACCACAAAGGAATACTAAGCAATTATCAATCAATTGACCCCCCCTCCCCAGACGCGTATTTGAGGGGCTTCAATTGTTGGGGGGGAGGGGTGTGTGTGTGTGTGTGGGTGTGTTTAATAATCAAAGGTTGACATTATCGACACTCCAACCCCGTCCACCGCCCAGTTGTTCAGTGACCATGATAGGAAAAGGGAACCTTGCTTCGAAATTCAGATGGTGCCAAAGAAAGGAAACTTAACAAACTGTGTTCGACAATCATTCGTTTCGTTGGCGTTCGATTCCGCCAAATTGGTTCTTCCAAAATGGCTACCAACGCTGCTCCTTCCAATCATGGATTGTCAAGATCCTCACTATTCAGTCAGAGTATTGCCGGTTTGTTGGGGTCCCCTTGTTCAAGGTCCAAAAAGGGGACACCAATGCTGGTTGCGAAGTGGAACCTAGTCAACTGACAGCGGCAACACATTACGCATGGAGCCTCACGCAGGCTCAGCCGTAATGCATCAGGCTCGTCCAATGACTCAAAAGAAGAACAAACAACACGCAGGCTCAGCCGCAATACATCAGGCTCGTCCAGTGACTCAAAAACAAAAAAATAAGAGGCCCCCACCCCGCCAACATGGATAACAAACTCACCGTTCAGAGCTCATGTTGGCCGCCGAGCTTCCGAGCTCCGGTCAAAAAACCCAACCGAAACAACCGCGCTGCAGGTGGAAGCAACGCAGCCAAACCTTTGTTTTTTTCCTTGATTCCTGTTGTTTGTAAGTAGGGTTCGGCCTTGTAGTTAGATAGGGAGTTTCTTAGCAGGGAGTTTCCAAAGGGAGATCTGGGAAAGGAATGTGGGGGAACTTTATTTACCCTAGCTGAACAGATTAGGGGACAGTTTGTTGTACTAAGCTTAAACAAACAGGTACCTTTTGAAACCACTGAATGTATTCAAGGTTGCGGTTTGGACCCTGGCTTAGCGGAACGAAGGAAAGGGAAGGTGCAAGTGAGCCAGTTCCTGGCCAGGTCGGTGGAGAAAGGCAAGAAGGTCGGTTGGACATACTTCATTTGAGGGTGGTTTATTAATCAGTGCAGGGTCAGGAAAATACTTTATTTAGCTGTGGATCATTACTCAGAGGTTGACATTACCCCCCAACAATGCTTGGAGTGCATGAAGTGGCTTTCCAGAATTCGACCGCGCAAAAGTATTCTTTGTCAGCGCGTGGTGGAGAATCTGATCCAGATGCTCGCAGAGCGCAGGCGCCAGGGCGGCCCAGGGAGGGCCTTTTGAGCCAATTTGTTCAAGCCTCCAGTTGTTTGTTGTTTGTGTTTTGCCTAAGAGTCGTTTCTTGGGCGTGTGTGTGTGTGTGTGTGCTTGTTTGGGGGTCTGCCAGAGGTGTGTGTGTGTGTGTGTGATCGTCGGTTGAGCATTCAAGGACTCAAAGTGCGGTGGACGAACAGCGGTCTTAAGCTTGCCTTAGGAATCAAACATTGCAGTTACTCATAGACAGTTCAAAGGGTTTTTTGCAACCCTGTTTGGGTGGGACTGTAAACACCCAGAAAGCGGACTCCTGTGGAATTTTGAATCTTCAGAAGATGAGTGGGGGACGGTTCCGACAAAAAGACGCATCTCTGACACTCCGCAATTAGTCGGTCAGGTCGGGCATTTGTCCTTTGGGTGCTTCTCGTTCTACGTGATTGCCTTTTAAGAGAGGTCTCCCACTGGCTGCATGCCAGCGGTTTCAGTCCGCTTCTTGCGGAGCCAATAAATACACTTGATTTTTATCAGTTCCGGACATGCGCAGGATTTGGGCCGCAAATGACGAATCCGACCGGTTGCCTTACTCCCTCATCCACAGGTTCCATGTTAGTTCACACATCTCGCTTGTTCTCCTTGCGACTTCGTGAATTCGCTGGGCGCGTGAAGCGGCCCACAAGGATTGAGGATTGTCGCCCACCCCGTTGGGGCCCTCCCAAACACCCCAAACACCCAAACACCCCCCCAACCCAAAAACCCCACACACACACACACCTTGTGCCGGAGCAAACTAGACACGAACTGGAGGTGTGTGTGTGTGTGAGTTTGCGGGGTGATAGGATCCAGAGCAGTTTTATGAGATTCAACATCCGTGCCGTATCCCATTTGTTGCCACTGGTCTTTTGGCCCGGGACAAAGCACTTGCGTTTTCTTCTGTTGCGGCTGTGACTCCCAACCACATATTGCTACTTCGGGGTTACCTCGCGGTTTCTCGGGGAGTCAACACGGCGGAAAATGACAGCATCCTGGCAGGTGGCCCGGTGTTTGGCAAATCTGTATTTGCTGGGAAACACTTAAACATGCGACAAAAGGCATCCCCTGCAGACTACACTGTGTTTCACGTTTTCTCTAAGAAGCGCGTAAAAGGGCCCCCATTTAAGATGGAGCGGCTCAAGGGTGCAATACGGCGTGACTCTCGAACTCTGTCCTTCTGGAACGTAATCAAACAAGGACCTGCGATACCATGGCCCTTTTTTGCAGGTTGGACGTCAACTTGCTTTATTATGTTTGTTTCGACTTCCTGGAAGATGTGAAGCCAAAGCGTTGGGAGCCCGCTTGGAGCCCAATGGAAAACCGCTTGCTGAGAGCCCGCCATGGTGAGTGCGTGTCAGGGCGCCCACAAAAGTTGCCATGGCAGAGGCTGGGGGCAGGGCGGGCAGGTGCCCGACAGGACCACCATCACCATAGTCATCGTCATCCTCGTCCGACATCATCACTAGCATGAGTATTAGCATCACCATTATCATCTTTATCGTTACCCAACGATGTTGACAACCATGATCATCATCATACAACAATATTCATAACAATCATCAGCGGTGGAAGCAATCATTTAGGCTTGCCTACTCACCAGGTATTTGTTGGGACTTTCAAGCCATGATTCCCAATGGAGCAAAATGAATATTCGGGCACACCAGAATTTCTCAGTGCTCCTGCATGGTCTACTTCAGGCCAAGTGCACTTGTATCTGTTCTTTTTACTAGCATACCTGGCCTGTCGCACTTGAATGTATCTGCAGCTTAAATGTGAGCGCCTGGCAGGGATCATATTTGTTTGCCGATTGAATGGATGGGTCGGCCGCTTTGTCGGATGTAAGACTCCTAATTGGGAATGAATGCCCTTTCCCTTGCCGATGAATTGCACCGAGGCGCACCCGCTCGTGTGCGTGTGTGCTTTTGCCATTGGCCGGCTAAACATAGTACCCACTGGCAGCACTAGGCAGGCGCGCCATACGAACTTGAGCATCGCCCAGTGTTCGCCATCGTCAGCCATTGTCAAGGGGATGACGCAGGCCACGCTTAAGGTCTATGTAATTGGTGTTCGGACACAACAACTATTGACTGCGAGGGAGTGCATGAAAGTGTTCGCGATTCTTTCAATTGTCTTTTGAGTAACTGTGTGACACAACTGCAGAAGTCTTTATTGAACCGATTCATGTTGTCCACATTGGCCTTTTGAGTTTAGCAGCCAGTTTCAGTCAGCCCAAAAGATGTTGGCTGATCACCAGTTCAGATCGTTGAGCAGTGAATGCATCCAGGGAATGGAACGACGCATCACATCTGAAAAGCAAGAAAACAACAACATCGATCACGTCACCCGACAGAACAAGGAAGTTGATGTTTCCTAAAATTGGCCGTGGTCTGTGATGTCCCTTCATCCCAAAAACGGGGTTTCTTCTTCTGGGAAAGCCAACGCCTCATGGGTAGCAAGTCTCAAAACGAGCTGTGAGGTGGGGGTCTTCATGGGTGACACCTCTGCTTCTGTGCTCACTAAGCGGTTGCCCGTGAGTACCGCCTGCGCCTCGGACGCTGTGTCGCTCGCCTTGAACATCTGAATGGGAAACGAAGGGGGATTGCCTCAGCCGTAACACCTGTAGAAGGTGCGGAGATCTGCTCTTTTGATTTGCCATGGGTTTTGGGGCTGACCCTTTTTCATAGTTACCAGGCGTTGGTTACGATTGGGAAGCTGAGCGTAGGCCTGGGCGGCACATAAATCCCCTCCAAGGCATCTTAACCTGCTGGCTTTCCCTCGACCATGTTAGTCCTTGGGCCGAGCCACGATGATCCTGAAATGCCTGATTCTTGGCAATGGGGTAGGATTAGGATGTTTCTGTAGCGCTATAGCTGCAGATTGCTGTATTTATATATAATATATATATATATATATATTATTCATCATCATATGAAGTGTTCGATGTACATTGATGGAAAACAACACCTAACTACATATCTATATATATATATATGTACTGAGTCTGCTATATCTGATAATCGGGCCTTACCCCAAGTTGTAACAGGGAGATGTGTACGGCCGAAAAGACAAGTTGTTGGCCGGGCCTTCTAGCCCCGGGCGCGGTTGTGAAAAGAAGATGAAGATGCGGGCCGCGCAGATGGAAGATGCAGGCGCACAAAAGTAATCACCGGAAGCACTGCCGCAGGCCATGAACCAAATAGCACACCGAAACTCGGAGGGCTCGGTTCTTTGCGTGGACCGGGAGGTAGAAATCATTGCAACATACCGCGGTGACAACGCTAGGAGGAGCTCCTTGCAGACTAGCATGGAGTTGCTCCAAGGTGACATGGAAGATCATGAACCAAGGCGCCCCAAAAGCTTTGGTTTCTGCAGGAGAAGTAAAGAACGGAACACCCAGCCACGTTGCGCAGGCAGCGCTCTTGGAGCGGACATCACCTGTGATTTCCCTATCCCTGGGTTTTTGATTGACACGCGCACCTCTTCTCTCCACAGATTCGGTGCTTGTTTGTGAGTTTGTGACGTGGTAGTGGTCAGGAGTTCGTATTGGAGGAGAGCCCCGCTTTTGTACGTATTCCTATGTAATCCGAAAGAGTTATTTCTAAGGAAGAATGAGCATTGGCTTCCTGGAGACATGTTTGTATGCTTTCTAATTACATATTTGCAGGTTCCACTCCCTTGTAGACGGTGATATGCGCAGGTGTCTGTATTATATGCATGCTTGATTCCACGCCTATGCTGGGAATGGCAAACCGCCTTCGCATTGGCTGGGCCATTTTTGGAGGAAGCTTTGCGAAAGATCAGAACAAGATCAGCAAACACATGGGGTTTGTTTCAAGGTTCCCTGCCGCACGTTGGGCTTCGCACGGGGCTCCCGTTAAGCGCAAGAGGAAAGGGCTGATGATAGTGGCCTCTTTCATTCAGCACTGCTGCCAGGATCACAGCTTCGGTCAGCCGAAGTGCAACATCTCTTGCAACCAGAACCGCAACAGCAAAAAGTCACTTCAAAGCGAAAGCTGGAAAAAGTTTACGAAATGCAAAACAAAGATGTGTGTTTCTCGCAAAGATGTTTTTGCCCCAGAAGACACAGATCAGCTCCAATATTACATAAATATCAATGCATTGCTGAATCACGTACCCAGACAACCACATTGCTAGCTCGCCCCACTTTGGGAAGGGGGTTGCGAAGCGGGGTGGAGGTGCACTTGGTGGACCCTTGGGACACCAACGAGATCTTCCAGGCATGCGATCCCGCTTCTTGCCAAAAAAACGAAGCCTTTTTCGAGGGGCCTGTTTCGGGTTGTTTCAAACGGAAATTATTGAGTAATCCCTGTGATGACCGCCTCACTTGCAAACAGAGCTGTGCTTCAATTGTTGGAATTGCGTCGAGGTTTGGCTGTCTTTGGAGTTCAGCAACCGCATGTTTGTCATGTGTGAGACTTGGTTTCTTGTTGCTGGGGGGATTCGGAGTTCTCACCAGTCAATGCGGGACACAACAAGCACACTTATGTTCATCGTTTCACGGATGGGAGTCGAAGGCAGCGCAGCAAGCAACGCACAAAGTGCCCAGGTGCCGCGAAAAATCAGGAGCTTATGTCCAAAATGCCAGCTGGAAGTTGGAGTCAACCAGTTTGGTTCCACTTCAGAACTGGGTTTTGCCATTTGAAACCGGCTGAGCCCCACGGGGGCCCCCGCCATGTAGACCTGGTTCGCGCTCAAGGATTGCAAGCGGGATGTGACACTCATCTCTCAAGATACAGGTGACAATTGATGCAAAACGGGCTGCGCAAGGGGAAATGTCTGCTTTTTCACTGGAAAACTGAGGCGTTGTTTCTTTGTTCCCAATTGAGAAGCTGGAAAATCAGGCAGCCCATCTTGGACGGCTCAGAAATGTTGTCACCGGGTTTTCGCTCAAATAATGATGGGATCCTATTGGGCTTGCACCTGCCTTGCCTGCAACCCGCTCACTTGCAACCTGCCCTCCCTGCATACCGCATCCAAAGATACAGTCACTTTTTGTGAGGATGGTCAAACGACTCACAAAGTGTTTCACACTGTGGCTGGCACCCGCCAGAGTGTAGGTTGCCTTGTTCAAGACATGGGTTCCCTCCTATTCCTCTTGGAGCGTTTCAGGCGGTGGCGCAGGAAAAGCGTCAGGAGATCACCGGGGCGGAGGCCGAGTGAGTGGGGCAGAACACGCATGAAACCAACATTGGCCTGATTTCCGGATCTCCCTTTGGTGGGACCTTCTTTTGAGGGTTCCATGTCACTGTGGGTGAGTTATTCGGCGAAACAGGAAAAAAAGCAAGAAATTAGGGGGGGGGGGGTTAGTACTCGAGCAGTCTCTCAGTAAGTGATGCTTAAAACTGGCTTAGAATTGTTGTGGTATCGCTTTTGTATTGCTTTCCAGTACTGCTTCGTACCATTTTATAATTTTGTGCTTGTCCAGTACTGTGTAGCATTGGCTTAGATCTTCTCGTCCAATCAACCAACTTTTCGTGTAGTTCCTCGCCCTCTATTTGTTCAGGGTGGGCCATAATTTTGGGACAACCTTTCTGAATTACCTCCCCATTTAATCGCTACCCGACATTATTTTGCACGGGAGTATCTTTTTTGAGCGGCCGAAACCGTGTTGGCAGCTTTGGAGAGAGAGAGAGAGAGAGAGACAGAGAATAGGTTTTACATGCCTTGCAAGGCCCCCAGTTGTTACAAAGTCCACCAAGTTCGACTGGAAGTTGAGGAAGCATCAACTGGGAGTGTGTGTGTGTGTGTTATGTTCAACGGCCACCCATTTGTGGGACCCCCCATAGACCCGAAACCCAGTTCCCCGAGATGACTCGACCCTTGAATGCGCCGTCATGATGTGCTTGTTTTTTTCCTTGCCAGTTTTGAGGTTCAGTAAATATGGACATAAACTTGGGTCGCTCAACATAGGGGACCCATAAAAGCCCTAAAAGTTGTTTGTTGTTTTCTCGTGAAAAGCCAAAAACAACGATTTGGGTGTGTCTCCAATTGTGTACCCCCAAAATGGGGCCTGCTCTCTCACCACCCAAATTTACCAACTCCAACACCCATTTTGAGAAAACATCAACCCATGTTGTTGTTTTGGTTTCCTTTTCGCTCCGAAACCCACAAGTCAGGTAAGCTCCAATTGGTGGTTTGGATTCGGATTTCAACAGGTGCCTGCTTCTTGTAAAGGGTGAATGGGAAACCAAAGGCTCCAACCTACCGATTCGAGGGAAGCACAATCAAGTTGGATGTCTAGTAGCCTCCCGACTAACATGGAGGTGTACAGACTGTAGAAGGACTGCTTTCCTCTTGGAAGGGTTGTGCACTTCCAGGTTGGTGGGACCAAACCCTGCGAGTCTCGCCTTCCGACTTCCGAGTCCGAGCAAGGCGCGGAAGCATGTGGAGCAGCGCTTCGGCGGCTTGGGCACGCACGGGGTGCCCAGTTTGGGAGGCCACACCAATTGAATTGGAGGGTACCGTGCCCGTTTTTGGAGGTGGTCTTTAAAGGGAAACGAGGAAAGCCACGGTTCTTGGGGGATTCCCCATTTTGACATTCCCAGTTTGGGATGGGACATCAAGAGAAAAGCAAGGGGCAAACTCATGAACTCCTTTTGGGGTTGTTTCAGAAGATACCTAAATCCGCAAGAAAAGAGTACCGTTTCAATCAGACTTGATCTGACAATAAACTATCATTGAAGTCCCCATCTTGGTTGTTTACTCAAAGAGGAGACACAACTTCAATGTTGCCCTGCCGAGGTGCCTTTCGCGGCAAGGGATACGGCGTTGAATTTTGTTCCCATCTTCACTTTCCAGCTATGGAAATCATGTTCTGACTGGTATCGGTTTGGTTATCCTTGTCCCTTGGAGTGGATTTCATGTTGCCTCTAAACCATGTTTAATACGCACCGCCCCGTCCCGTCCAATGGATTTCATGTTGCCCCTATCCCCTCGGTTTGGTTGTCCTTGTTCCCTTTGATAGACACGCCCCAAGAAAACCAAAGAGGCCAACAGCCCAACAGCACCCCGAGGGTGCACTGCTTTGACGGGCCCGCTGGAGCTCATCGTCCGTACCAGGCGGGGTTGCGAGCCCTGGCTCCGCGTTGGGTTCTCCACGGGCCCTTGAAAAAGCAGGGACCGGACAGGAGTTGATGTTGAACTTTGTAAAACAAAGCACACTATGAAGCATGTATTTTTCCCGCAAAAACAACAACTTATTAAACCTCTTGTTGAACCTTCAAAAGCAAAACAACATGAATAGAAACAACAACTGTGTAATAAACCCTTAAGTTCCTGAGGGGTGGTTTCTGTTTGGTAAGATCCCCTTCGTCCAGGGTCGCCGTGGCGAAAAGCTGGGAGGTTTAATGAGGGTCAAGATGAAACATTGGCAGTCCAGGGCTCAAACTGACTGGCTTGAAAACCACACGATTCCGTGGGCATTTTCCGAAATTGCCCCCGCCATGTTGGTTCTTCGTGGATTTACTTCTGCGTCCCTTTCAAGCAATCCAAACAGCCCAGAGGTGCTTTGTGGCTGCTTTGGGCAACAGTTATTGGCATATCAAACCAACGTGTGATAGCTTTGCTTCTGAGTCTTTCTGACGAGGGATCACAGCTGCATTTAAGGGCAGTTTCGTTTCAGCCAGTGGACAGCCTTTGTTGGTTGTGCGGGAAGCGTCAAGGTATCTCTGAAATGTTCATTGCAAGTATGTGAGTGATCTACGGCTGTGGACTGGGGGTAATGTTCACTGGGAGGTGTTTTCCTTCGAAACAGCGGTACCCCTGTATGGAAACTGTGAGGTGTATGTTAACTAACACACCTCACAGTGAATATGACCCCTCGCAGTGAACAGCGGTTGATCAACTGCATGATAGTGGTTGATGCAGGAGTCCTGAATGTCCATGACTCCCAGGCTTCCATACCAAGAGCGGTTGCCAGGCTGCTGGTCGTCAAGAAATGTCAACAGGCCCGGTCCAACCACTTCCCTCAGCGATAACTGGGGTAAGATGGTCGTTGCCTACCGCACTTTTGGGTGTGGGTGGCCAAAAGAACCCTCTTCGAACTGGAAGGAGCTCGCTGATGGACACAGCCACGTACAGAATACTTACACAGCAGTCATGCTTCTCTTGAATCTCCTTTGTGTACCTGCCAACATGCCCAGCCCGTCGCAAGCAAGCTTGCCACCTTAAGGCTGCGTTTCTGCAACGCAGAATATTCACAATATTGAAGTTGAATTGGGAGGGCGCGCATGTTTCCTTCTTTTGTTCACAAAAAGCAGGGGCGCAGACTCGGCCCACAGGGGGAGGCGCTGGCGCCGGAGAGGCGCTGGAGCCACACCTGCGGGGAGGACGGCCGGAACGGTTGGCCCATGAATCTTGGCAGATAGCAAAAAGCAATGTGTTGCTGGAATCAAAAGTCAAGTGTCTACAGTGCTGACAACAATGTTGGCCCAATCGTTCACGATAAAAACGAACCAACTACCTGTAGGTTTCCTTCATGTCAAACAATGCGATCCGCCGCAGACAGCTTGAATGTCCGCTGTGCCAAATAGCCCAACTGATGTACAATGTGTGTTCAGAGTTGGGCTGGGTTGGCGAAATTATCGCTTGGCTTTCTTCCAAATAAAAGCAGCCTCGTTTTGCAGGTTTTCCGATCCTTGAAGTTCTCAAAGAGGGCATCCAAAAGAGCTGGCTTCTAGTTGAATGTGTGCAAGACATACTTTTGGTGGCTGACTTGTTTTGAGACCCCAACAACATTTTTTGGGAGAACTGAGTGCTGTAAATTGTGGCCCATGATCGGTGGACAAATATCGCCATGCAATTGATGGCAAGAGCCAAATGAAAGTGAGCGCGTCCAATCGGTTTATACACATGGGGCCGGTATGCAAGAACTGGTTCCTGAGCGCGACGCCCCTAGACACCTACATTCATCTTGAAATTGGAACCTCCTAGAGAACCCCCCATGATATTCTACCTCGAAACCCGCTGGAGAAATTTGTTTGGAAAATCCCAGAGCAGAGTTGGTTGAACTTTGCAAGTGTGCGGCAAGTCCCTCGCGCAGGACTGGCCGGGCAGCCCGCAGGTGCGGCTGCATCTCGTACAATCGGGTCTTTTCGCTCTCCAAAAGTCGCGGCTGTGGGGCCCAATTGGTTTAGGCAAGACGACCCTGGCCCCCTTGGGCATGCGAAAGGCACGCGTAAACAATGTGAAGAGGTTAAACGCATCCAAAAAGGATTGGCCTTACCCCTTTGTGGAAGCGCGCGTTGTTCATTTGTGTAGCTGCTTTAGACCGTCCCATCGTTCTTGTTACCTGTTTTTGCTGAAGGGGAAGGGGATGAGGTGTCCAAATGGGGACCCTTGGGCATCATTTAGGTGCCGGTTTATGTCCACCAACCATAGCTCCGCCGGGCACTTAGGACCCTGTCCGTGATGACAACATTTTGGCAGGTAGGACTCGGGTGGCATTCTCTTTTGTGCTGGATGCTGAACAGCCAGAATCTTCTGATTTCGCCTAAAGGTGGCGGGATTGATCTTGTATTTGGACTGCTCTCAACCACAATTAAAGGACTGGATAACCGGATAACCCCACACGCCCAGCTTTGGCTGTACATGGACTTGGTCGATCGACTTCGCAACTCAAAAGCAAGCAAAGAAGAACGGTCTGGCAAGGGACTGCTTTGCAGTGTGTGAGCGAGTATGGGGTGAAGTGGATGGGTGGGCAACCAGGAGAAAGAAGCATTGGTGCAAAACAAAGCAGAGCTACACTGCACTTTTATCCCGTCACGCAAACATACCCGGGACCCGCCGCCCAAGGCGACCGCTCCGCACCAACCAGTCTAAAGTCCCGTGCTTTTCAAGAAACAGCCCCCTAGCGTGTCCAAAGTTCCGCGCCTGCCATGAAATTGAACCCCGAAGTCCTGCGCCTGCCACGCAGTGTGCTATTAACAATGTGTTTTATCTTTGCATCCCTTTCACAGGAGCCAACCTTCTCACCGGAAAGTTGGTATGCCGTTGGATTTCCCCTTTGCAGGAGCCAGTTTGGTCCAAAGCTTGGGCAAACCCCAGTTTTTGTTCTGTTATTTTCTGCTGTGTTGAAGGGATGTTTTTCGAGCAACACCAGCCAACTCTGGGGGGCTGCTTGTTTTTTGTGGGGGCAACACCCATGTCATGTTTGTTTTCTCGCCTTTTTTCACGTCTTCTCGAGGTTTTCTCCTTGCGCCGACCTTCGCCCCGCGGTCTCGCGGCAGGTGGGCATCCACGCGGCGGCGTCTGTGGATGCCAGCCGCCGCTCCTCGGACGCAGTTTGGAGTCCTTCAGTTGGCCATTGATCGAAGCCCTCAGGTGTGGAGTCTGCTATTCCAGACCTTGCTGTTTGGGTCCCATGTGTTGTAGGGTGTACCCGACAAGGAAATCCCTTTCCCTCTGTTGAATGTTTCAAGGGGACGCCAAAAAAGGGGCCAACCGCTTGGCGGAGTTCCCCGTGTTTAGGCCCCATTTGTGGTGTTGGAAGGACGAGAACCGACGCCAAAGCGCTTGAATTCCCCTTTAAAAGTTCGGGCACGGGGAAAACAGTTGTTTCTGTCGCAGATGCCCTTAGAAGCCAGGAGCCGAATTAACAGGCCTCAGTGGTGGTCACATGACACCTCGGAACAGGAACCCACCGCTCCTGAGGAGCTGTTTGGATTCGAGAAGTCACTAATGGAGGCCAGAAGTTTCAACAAGCAGCCTTTTTAGCCACATCTCGCTGCTTGCTTTGGTTCAATGGTCCGAGAACTCTTCTACCTGGGGTTTATGAGTCTGTAGGACTGATCATCAACCAGTTTGTAGAGGAGTCATGTGAATTGAGTCATTGTAAAGGTTTCAGTCGAGAAAGCACATTGACAAGACTGGGTATGTCTCAAAGTGGAGAACCCGCTTTTGGATAGTGTTTAACTATATACAGAGAAACCCAAAGAACAAGACTTTGGAGTTTCATTTTGAGAAACACCCCTTCAGCGAGAAGAAGCGGTCACCCGTGTCTGGTTTGAATCCTTTTCATGGAAGTATGTCCCTAACAGACAAACATATCTTAATGATCCATCATCGATGGACAGGGAATGGGAGACCCAAGGCATGTTTGAACACTTCAGGGTATGTAAGAACCTTGTTGACAAGCAGCAAGTCCCCAAGCCGAACTGCCAAGCAGTTAAAGGGGTTGCTTTGAGACACTCTCATTTTTCGATGTGAGGCATTGTGGCTGCTTCGCTGGACTTGGTGTTCGTTGACGGAGCTCATGACTATGAGTCGGTCTTACAGGACATGAACATGAAGATTGAAGCCCGGTTATTCCTCTTGATGCGACTGTAGAGGAAGCCCGCTGCGCTGTTCCTGTCGCTCTTCAACAACCCGGGAACCCATCTTATCGGTTTCGGTTTCGTATGCCATAGTCTTCGCCGCAGGCCATCTTTGGCCCGGGAGGTGAAAGACGGATGAGTCATGGGCGGAGCCGGAGCACCTAGGCTCTTTGGCTTGTTCTCAAGGTGGACATGTCATGCTCATGCTCATTTCACGGGGTTCATTGCACTTGGTCACATGCATCATTGGAAGGATGACAGGCATTGGTGGGACGCAGAAATAGCCTGTGTTGAAAGCACATCAAGCGGGCAGTAGAAGTATTTCATTGTAGGCACTCTCGGATCCGTTGGCGCTATGCCATGTGCCTGAGACGTGCTCGAGTCCTTCTCCTCTACCTGGCCCTGCGCCGGAGCTGAGTCTTTCCCCAAGTTCTTGTAGTGGGTTCAACCCTTTTTCCCTTTTTGTTTGGTAGACTCTCATGGAACCAGTGGTTTTTGGGTGGGGGCTTGGCTCCTGGGGGCAACTGCTTAGGTTGGTTGGCTGGCTGGCTGGCTGGCTGGCTGGCTGGTGGGCTGGCTGGTTGCTTGCTTGGTTGGTTGGTTAGGTTGGTGGCTGGCTGGTTGCTTGTTTGGTGGGTTGGTTGGGTTTGGTTAGGTTGGGTTGGTTGGGCTGGTTGGGTTGTGTGGGTTGGCGGGTGGGTTGGTTGGCTGGTTTGTTTGTCCCGCTCTTGGTGTAATGTGTGGCACGCAAATCGTTACAGTGGTCGTTTGCAACCTGGGGACCCATGATAAAGTGTTTGTCTTGTGTCGGCCGGGGGTTCCTTGTTCGATCATTGCGGTTTATGATGAACTGTTGTGATCGATTCTTCATTTACACAAGGATATCCCCTCTGGATGACGCGGGAGTCGGAATTTGTTTTGGTGGTTGCTATAGCGGCATAGATGTTTTTTGTTGGTGTATATTTTCCCAGTTGCTGGTTAGATCTATTTAAGGAAATGTGTCAACGGGGCACCTTTGCTCTCTTGATCCAGAAGGCAAGGCCTAGTTTAACAAGAGCACCCACCTGCAATGTCGTGGCGGGAGCAGTTAGTTCATGTTGTTTGCTCCACTGGTCCAGTCATTGCGTGAATTTGAGTTTTGGCTGGTCCCACTACGCCTAAGTCTATTGTGTCAATTCATCAGCGCTTCATCCAGTTCTACTTGAATCAACTCAACATTTCCAGTTTGTGTTGATTTCTAAATGACCAGCCCTTGCATACAGGGGGGGGGCTGGCATAGCACCGCCTTCCGGCCTCAGTTGCCTCGTGGCGCGCCCGTGTCGCGGCCCCCGCTCCGTTTCGCCGGTGACCTTCGCTATGCCGCGGTCCCGGTGCTCCATCTTCCGGCGGGTGCGGCCTTTCGGGCGCGCGGTGGCGGTGCACCGCAGGAGCGCCTTTCAATGAGCAATCAACGGCTGGGTAGAAGGTTGGGGGGGGGGGGGGCGGATCCCAACCAGAGATGAGTGATATCAGGCAGTATCAGGCCTTTCAGTTCGCTCAGCTTATTTACATTATGCTTTAGGGTAAAATCCTGTGATGCCTGGTTCTGATTTGACTCAAATCCCAGCCAAAGTCAATGGCTCCTGCCGCAGTTGAATGATGGTTTGCTATGACATTATGTTGAGTCATAGAACCCTGGTTTAGACGGATGATACAAATGGGAATTCGTTGACTTGGGAACCCAGCAGAACATACACCCCTCCTGGAAAGCCCGACTCCCAGATTTTTCTAGGCGGTTATTTTTCAACCGACTTTGGTTTGTTTTGGTCCTTGGGTTTTGTTGTTGGTGTTTGCCAGCTTTGCACAGGTGTTTTGCACCTTTCGTTTTAAGCGGTTTGCAGCACTTTGCAGGCGCTTGCTACCTGAAGAACAAGATAGTACCTCGGTTCGGCTGCTCACGCAGCATGGGGCCCCTCTTAGGAACATATGTTGCAGTCGCGCAAATTTCATTCGCGACCTCAAGGGCTTGGATTTGCGACCAACCTCGGGCCCTGAGGCTTGGTGCACGTCCTAGGGGCTGCGGACTTCCATGAAAAGGGGCTATGCAGGAATCTTGACCCTGTGTCTCTTTCTGTTTTCAATCGATGTCAAGGATGCTGAGAAGCTTCAAAAGACGAACAATATCGGTGTTGTATGCTGCTGCTGCCTGAAGTTGAAGCACAACATGGTACAGAGCGTGTGTGTGTGTGTGTGTGTTTTAAATGTGTAGGCAGCTGATGTCCACCTTTTTGCCAGACTTGGTGCTCTTCGATTCTAGATTGGTAAAAGGAGCAACGACAAATACATGTTTGCTTGTTTGCTTCTGTCCACCTTTCGTGGGGGCTGCCAGCATTGGAAACATGTTGCTATCATGCTTGCCAGGGCCCCGGGCTGTTAACCGAGGCGAATGTGGGGAGCCAGGCATACAGCTGCACCGTACCCTTCTTGTCAACAATCCCTGCCATCCGGCCGGTTCTTGCAAAGAAGGATAGGTGCAAGGGAGGTTGACAGATCAACACCTTGGAGCCTTGTCCGTATGTTTGGCACGCCAAGGGTCCCCGTTTTCCGAATGTCGAGAAGATCGTGACGTTTCCTCGCCTTCCCGTGGATTTCGATTTGGAGCCACGCCTGGGACTTGTTTTTTTGTTTTTGTTTTTTTCTTCGCAGGACGGAGCCCGCGGCAGTTCCTGAAAAGGCCGTGGCAGCGCTCGCGCCTGAGGGCATGACGGTGAAGGATGTCAGAGAGAATCGGTGGACAACGGTCAATACTTTGTTCCAGCATCTGCCGTAATGATGATATCGAACCCTGCACTGCCTACACTTACAAAATTATGACGGCCGGAGATCGAGTTACCAAAATGAATCACCAAAGCCCCATGCCGTGAGAACAATCAAAAGACCGTTGCTCCAGGTTGTCCCCCCACTTTGAAGTGGAACCCGATTGCGCCGATTTCCATGAACTACTGCGGTCTCTTGCCATATTCTACTGGCTTGAGAAAAGTTGGAGGCTGGCAAGCGCGTGTGGGGGGGGGGGAGGGTGGTGACCAGTGGCAGGACGGGGCTGCCATCATTGCAGGCACCGCCCTGGGGGGCGGATTCTTGGCCTTGCCATCGGTCACCGCCCCCATGGGGATCATGCCTTCCTTGGCGCCTCGGTCAACGATTTTCTAGCGGCTTGAGCACCGATCGAAAAGCAGGTTGATGCGCCTTTCTCAGGTAGGCCTGGTGGTGGTGTGGATCTTCCTGGTCGCAGTGGGCACGGTCTACGCAGAGGCGGCAGCATATACCCTGCAGGGCAAGCAGGGCGATGCTGAGACCCCCAGCGACAGCTCTGTGATCGAAGACGAAGGCGCCGTGACCATGGCCCAGTTACATGTGTCTAAATCTGTTTTCCTCGCATCATGTGCCAAAAACATGAGTTGTTTGAAACATCAAAGACGAACGACCTCCCAACATGGTGGACGTTTGGGGGGCAATTCGTAACCGCATCTTGCAATTTCGAAGGACTGACTGGATAAAATTTCGTCAACTCACGTGAGGTTCTGAGTCTGGGATCAAATGCATCCACCCAACTCCATCGCATTGCTTTCAAGGGGGCCATATACAGGAACCACCTTGAACAAAGATATTCCTCCATCAATAAACTGTTTGGTGAATGAGGATGCCAGATTCTAAGCCTTCGCAGGTTTGTTGGATAACCCATTCGTTTCCGGAAAGTCTGTAATGCGAAAGAAGACCACGCATTGTGTGGGCTTTGCTATGACATTGCAAAGGCCACACAATCCGTAGTCTGCGGCCATGTTAGGACAGCCTTCCATATTCCTGGACAAATTTTAGCACGCGCACATTGTTTGCTGGATTTGCAACCTCTATGGTGAAAATCACAAGTCTGTTTTTCTTGGGTCTCTCCAAGGTTGGTGAACCACATTTGGTTTCATGGACATCCCACGGGTTTCCCAAGAGTTCAAGGAAGACCATGCTCGAGGTGTGTCGGTGGTGTCAGTGGCCCAGCGCGCCCTGGGGGACCCGGCGGCGGTGACCTGCTCAGCCGCCTTCGCCTTGCAGATGCTCGCGGTGGTGACGGCCCAAGTGGCCAAGTGTGGGGAGCCGCGGCCGAATATGGACCAAGCGGTGCAAAGCAGAGGTTCTTTAAACAGCCTCCTTTTGGATTCCCCAAGGGGCTGAAGCAACGGGATTTCTAAATGCACCAGTTTTGGACCCCAATCTTTGAGGGGCCCTTTCACATTATGCCCCAACCTAGCGAGAACTCACGTGAAACTCAAGACTTGGTCCAACCGCCTCCAGTTAGGCGGGGTGATGGATGGGTACCATGAAAAAGTCACCGTCCCTGGGAATGCCAAACGTCCCCAACGAACCCGCACTGGGGGGGAGGTGAGGGGTTCTATTTGGCCTCATTTGTTCGTGTGGCCTCTTTGGTATTGTTTGTTTGGTTTACTCCTAGTTTTTGTGCCCCTTGGTGGTCCACTTGCAGTGTTTGACGTGTCGGCTCGGTTTTGGTGTTCCAGTGTTGACCCATGGTTTTTCATCTCAAACGAGAACTTTACTTGCTGGTTTCTTCATGGCTTGTCATGGTTCCATGGCGAGTTCCCTTTGGAGGATCCCCAGTTTCGGACGCTCAATCTGGGAGAAGCATCGTGGACTCACTAAACATACAAGCGGAGGTCTTACCATTTTACCAACTTCCCCAGGATAACATGGAACCCTAAACTTATTTTCAGAAGATCTGGGAGACCTCTTTTGTGGGCTCTATGTGAATTTGAAGAGGAGTATCCATCATGGGAGCCACATGTCGCTCAGGAGCTGCTTTCGGCGTTGACCGGGTTGCCGTACTACGTGGGGTGCATCCTTCCCAGCGCCGGCTTGGGCTTCTTCGTGTTCCAAAGCCCCTCCAGAGCCTCCGTTGCAACAGGTAGGGCATTTGGG